TGCATGGTTCAGCATAATGTGCCAAATTTCTGTGGTGGAGAATTTATTGTTAATTAATTAGCATTAATTTTTGCAAGAAGAGTTTGAGGACTTTTACAGCTGCAACTGAAGCTTGAACAAAGGAGCAGATGTTTGCAAGTTTGAGGGGGGTTTTATTACTTTAATCTTGGTCCCCATAGTGTTCAGAGTGACAGACTCAATGGACATTCAGGGGGAGAAGGAACTGGTGCAAAGACACAAGACATGCACGGACCCTTCTTGCTATTATGATGCACTTGTCTCTTCTGACCTTTTCATTCACCAGTTTCTGTCCTCGTGCTCTCACCTCTGTGATTCACATAAGTGTACCTACTCCAAATGAATATAGCACTTGCTTATTTTGTACTGGGAATGTACCTGATGCATCTTACAGAGAAATCATTTCAGAATGGCTAAGATCCCTCTAACTCTACCGCAGTTCACAAGATCGTTGCAGCACCTCCAAGCTCTGAATTGCAGCTGGTGGCTCAGTATAATGTACAACATCCGAAGATCTCTGGGAAAACTCCCACAGACAGCAGAAAGGTAGCTTGACAGCTGCTGCAAACATCTGTTCCTCTCTCTTCTTTTTCTTGCTCTGCCATGTTACCTCATTCCTAAAAAAAGAGACAGCTGTTAAGATATGTGTGTGGTCACACACCCTATGGAGCTGTTCCTAAACACAAGTGTTGCCTAAAAGCTTGTTCTTCTGTACCAGCTCTTAAAAATACAGGATTATTAACAGCAAATACTGGAATTACCTGGCAGTGCCTATGCTAAGGAAGGTAGAAGTTCTACCTTCTACTACATGCCTGAGGTTCACCAAATACTTTCTCAAACCTGGTTCACGGATGGGATTGAGATTGGTATCAAGCGCTTTTCAGCCTTCTGCACTTTTACAGAATGTGGATGTTTTGAGACAGGCAAGGAATACTTCAAAGTATATCGTTATATATTGTATACTTGGCAGCGTGTCCTGTGGTTCATAGCAAATATTGGGAAATGACAAAGCAATACATAATAAAGTGTAAAAGAAGCATCAGGTGGGTCTGAGTCTGTGTTCCAGGAACATTAGGAACTTCTGTCTCAAAATCCCTGGGTTTCTGAACAACATCAGCTGTGGATATGGAGGAGAAAGTGCTGATTGGTTATATGGCTGTGTTGAAATATGTTGAGCACTTCTTCAAGTCTTTGTTGTAGTGTTTTCTGGTTAGTAAATAGAAGAGAGTGGGTTAGTCAATGTTAGAAGGCAGCAAGGTTAGCAATTTTCACAATACTCTTCTCTTTTAGCTCCCAACAAAGAGATTAAGATGTGACTCTAGCTGAATTAGGACGCCAATGTGCTTCATATTACAACTACTATCTTGCCATAAATAATTCTGAATGTGAACATATTTTGAGATTAAATGATTGTCCTCGTTTAATATGATTCCACACAAAAAGATGTTTCGTGTTCCGCAACAGAATGCTTTGTCCTCGCCAAATCAGCATAAGTGAACTAGTTATAATCCCTGTGCGTTTGTAATTACCAGAGTGGTTTGGATGGCTTTACTTGGTATTAAATCCTGACATCATCTCTAAGTACAGAAATCAAACTTGTTGTAATTAAGATTGTATCAATGAAGTTCTCACATTTCACATCTTTTCCAGTAGTCATAATAAACCAAAATTGTATGATTCATTGCCTACCTTAAGTATTCTTTCCGATATTGCCAGGTTACTGGTGTGTAAACAGAAATGTAAATATATGCTTGCAGATGGGTGATTGTTTGGGCTTGCACAATAGTACTGAATCATTTGAGCAGGTCTCCTTGCTCTCTGCTGTGGACTTAAATGCTGCTCAGAAGTGCAGCTCCAGAGCACAGGGAGCTCGTTTGGACGCAATGAAGCTTGTGATTTTCTGCTCTAAACGTATTCCATCCTAATTGTAATTTCTAAACAAGCACTTTTCAGTGCAGAGGTCTATTATGAGATATATAAATGTTCAGATTCATAGTCGATAAAAGGTGCTTCTCTTCTAATATCCTCTGTAATCTGCTGAAGCAACTGGGAAAAGGAAAAGGAGCGACGACTTTTACAGCACTTAAGCTGTTGTTTCTAGAAAGTTATTTCAGGCATTCTTCCAAATAAAAATGCAGGTTGTTATGCTTATGAAGTTCTAAAAGTTGTTGTACTATTAATATGAGTATTTCGCAGCTATAGAATAAAAGCTTGAGGACATAGGATTCTGCAGCTGATTGCATTTGTATCACTTCCCATGTGTTCAGGGAGCGTGTGTGTATATGCATGTG